GCCCTATTGGATGTAAATGGGTTTATTCAGTCAAACTTCATTCTGATGGAACTCTTGATCGGTACAAAGCTCGATTGGTTGTTCTTGGTAACAGACAGGAGTATGGGGTGGACTATGAGGAGACTTTTGCACCCGTAGCCAAAATGACTACGGTGCGAACTATTATTGCCATTGCTGCATCACAAAATTGGCCTCTTCATCAAATGGATGTAAAAAATGCTTTTCTTCATGGTGATCTTAAAGAAGATATTTATATGAAACCTCCACCTGGTTTGTTCTCATCGCCTACATCAGATGTATGCAAGTTGAAGCGGTCTTTGTATGGATTAAAACAAGCTCCAAGAGCTTGGTTTGATAAGTTTCGGTCTACTTTGCTACAATTTTCTTTTGAGCAGAGCAACTATGATTCATTTTTGTTTCTTCGGAAAACATCTACAGGTTGTGTTCTTCTTTTGGTGTATGTAGATGACATTATTATCACAGGAACTGATTCTTCACTAATCACTAGCCTACAACAACAGCTTAAAGATTCTTTTCATATGAAAGATTTTGGTACTCTTACTTATTTTTTGGGTTTGGAAGTTCATAATGTTGCTTCAGGTGTGTTTCTAAACCAACACAAATATACTCAGGATCCGATTTCTTTGGCTGGTCTTCCAGATTCCTCCTCCGTAGATACTCCATTGGAATTGAATGAGAAGTATCGTCGTGAGGAAGGCGATTTTCTTCCTGATCCAACTATATTTCGACAATTAGTTGGGAGTCTAAATTACCTTACTATTACTCGGCCTGATATCTCTTTTGCAATTCAACAAGTTAGTCAATTTATGCAAGCTCCCTGTCATCTCCACTTGGTGGCTGTTCGTCGCATCATTCGATATCTTCTAGGAACATTTACTCGTGGATTGTTCTTTCCAAGTGGTTCTCCTATTCGTCTTAATGCTTTTAGTGATTCTGATTAGGCGGGATGTCCTGATACTCATCGTTCAGTCTTTGGTTGGTGTATGTTTCTTGGAAGAGTAAAAAGCAAGATCGTGTGTCAAAATCTTCAACAGAGGTTGAATATCGATCCATGTCTATTGCTTGTTCCGAGGTTGTATGGCTTCGTGGATTACTTGCTGAGATTGGATTTCCTCAATCTCATCCTACTCCTCTCCACGCTGACAATACAAGTGCTATTCAGATTGCTACTAATCCAGTTTTTCATGAGAGGACCAAACACATCGAAGTAGATTGTCATTATATCCGAGAAGTTGTAGATAAACGAGTCATTACTCTTCCACATGTGTCCAGTGATCTTCAAATAGCTGATGCGTTTACAAAATCCATGGCACGGCAACGCCATCAGTTTCTAGTAGGCAAATTGATGCTTCTTGATCCTTCTTCCTGATCCAACTATATTTCGACAATTAGTTGGGAGTCTAAATTACCTTACTATTACTCGGCCTGATATCTCTTTTGCAGTTTAACAAGTTAGTCAATTTATGCAAGATCCCCGTCATCTCCATTTGGTGGTTGTTCGTCACATCATTCGGTATCTTCTAGGAACATCTACTCGTGGATTGTTCTTTCCAAGTGGTTCTCCTATTCGTCTTAATGCTTTTAGTGATTCTGATTAGGCGGGATGTCCTGATACTCATCGTTCAGTCTTTGGTTGGTGTATGTTTCTTGGAAGAGTAAAAAGCAAGATCGTGTGTCAAAATCTTCAACAGAGGCTGAATATCGATCCATGTCTACTGCTTGCTCCGAGGTTGTGATTACTTGCTGAGATTGGATTTCCTCAATCTCATCCTACTCCTCTCCACGCTGACAATACAAGTGCTATTCAGATTGCTACTAATCCAGTTTTTCATGAGAGGACCAAACACATCGAAGTAGATTGTCATTATATCCGAGAAGTTGTAGATAAACGAGTCATTACTCTTCCACATGTGTCCAGTGATTTTCAAATAGCTGATGCGTTTACAAAATCCATGGCCCGGCAACGCCATCAGTTTCTAGTAGGCAAATTGATGCTTCTTAATCCACCAGCATCAATTTGAGGAGGGATGTTAGCATGATGGAAAACTAAATGATTGTATATATTAATGTAATTATATAGTGATATAAATTAGCATGATCATATACATTTGTTGTAGAATCAAAGGAATAAATATTGTGATAGAATAGCTGATTTGGAGGGATAGCAAGGCAGATTTAGAGGGATTGAATAACAGATTTGTAGAGATAGAATAGTTGATCTTTAGGGATAGAATGACGGATCTTTAGGGATGTGTAATCTTTATTTTCTCTAAATAATGGAAAGACTCTCACTTTGAGAGGCATTCAGCAGAAAATTGACACAGACAACACTTATTCCATAGACAAGTTGATTGTTCAGGATAGCAGAAAAGCTAAAAGATAATCTTAGCCTTGGATCTACATTTACCTAATAGGTGTCTGCTATGGTTGCAATTGTTTTCATCAAAACTATAACTCCCACTTTCCAGTTAAAAAATGTTCATTCATGTGGCGCTAATAACTGGTTAAATCCAACTAATGGCATTTTCTAGATTGGGCATGGACAAACTGGTATTGAAAGTGGACAATGTTAGAAGATGCAGAATCCTAGATAATATATGATAACAACCACGGAAGTAGGAACCATGGAAACTCAGGACCTGAGGGTTCCCAAGATGAGTTCTCAAAATGCATATGTATCTATCTCGTAGTGTCTGACCACCTCTACTCATCCATAACATGCCTCATTCACTATGTTTCTTTGAGTTCAAAAGTAACAAGAGTGATTTTCAGTTTTGTTCATAACAAATGAACTGTCCATTCATCTTGTCATTAAAGAGGAAAAATGTTTTTCAGGTTTCCATATTTATGTCTGTCTCGAAGGAAACTGAGGAAGGAATGCATATTCTGCATGTAATAACATTTCTCTAATCTGAATGCAACATAAAAAGGTATATCAGTCTTCATGTAAGAACAAAATCAGTTCTCATACCATATCTCTGAAAGATAGTATTTGTCAAGTAATAGAAGAATCAACCAAGCTTTCCAGCTTTCAGAAAGATAAAAGACCTTATGTGCAGAAAAGTTTGTGCATACAAATATCTCCACAAATGTTGTCAGCAGACAATGCACTATGTTGATCATTTACCTTTTGCCACTTACTCTTGCAACAGCCAGACCAATAACATATGCAGCATCCCACATTCTCCTCCTCTATGGGAACTGTCGACAAATGCTTAACCATTACATAATTTTCTTTGAGCTTTGGGCCATATTCTGGTAAGAATGATAACTTGGAGACCTCCAAAAACTTGCACACCTGAAGTTATAAATTCTCTATTTGTTACAACCAAGGAAAAGAAACAATAGCAGAAAAAAGTCCCAAAGAATCAAATATACTGTTTCATGACTATTAAAACCAGAAATTGCTCCCTTGACTGGGGTATCTAAGGAACTATTGTTTGGAGGAAAGGTAGAATATCATCAGAAACAAGAATATCCAACAGTACAAGTCTAAAGAGAAAAGTAACATCACTTATAGGAGCACAAAAGCTAATTGCCTAATCGGAAGGAAGTATATGTTTTGCATACTTCCTACACTGGAAAAATATTGAGCTACAACAGATGTTACAAGCACTTTTCCCATGCTTAATTCAAGATTCAGGAGAAATTTCAGCGATTAACTAGTCTATGACCTCCAAGACGTCAGTGAATACCCCTGCCAACTGTTAACTTCTGCAACAACTGTCCACCCCATACAAACTTTTCTAGTCAAAAGGTATCTGTCTAAGAACAAACTGCTGGAGATTGAAACAGAATAATATACACACCTCTTGAGAATTTACAATGTCCAAATTCCCCAAAAAATGATTCAGATACTCTTGCATAGCAATTTTTGCTTTTCTTGTGATGGTTTGCTGCTTGCCCAATGATGGACGAATGATTGATAAAGCAGCCCGGGATGGAACACACCTGCAAATATACCCACAGGTAAGAATCATGTCTGGTATTTGCAGAACTCTATGCAAGGTCCAGCCTGCTAAGCATAACAAGATTCAAACAGAAACATGTTGACACCTATTTCTAATACTATCTTCATTGTAAATTGGCACAGCTCCATCATCTTCATCATCGTCATGTGTGACAGCTGTTTGTTCTCCTATACCAATGTGGTGAAGCCATTCTTTAACCTTTTGACAAGTATTTGAGAATGAGATTAGGAAGACTTTTAGACAGTGGCCATTATCAAATTCGTGGAATGAAGAAATAACAAAGGCGTAGAATTGTCTCATATATGTGAAGCAAAGAGAGAGATAAACCTGCTCTTGTTTCTCGTGGAGTTCCTCAATTATTGCACGTTTCCTCAATGCAAAGTGTAAATAAATAACTTGTGAGGCCTTCTTCAATAAGCACCACTTGAACTGCTAATTGGAAAAGTAAAGAGGAGATGGTCATGAATTTGAACACAAGAACTTTTTATAGAAACTAAAGTTCACTGACTAGCTTCTATCAGAATGGAAGCAAAAACAAATTCAACATTTCTTTACCCGAGAAAAAGAGGCTAAAATAAATAAAGACTTCAAAAATCGATTTCCAAATTGCTAAATGCTCAATCTTATCATTATTTTAGCATAAAAGAGTGAAGGGGAAAAGGCTTAGCTAGCAGAAAAGGCATTCTTGATAGGGTCACCTGAAACTGTATTATCGAAAGGAAAAGTTGATAGTAACTTTAGTTTAAACCAGGTAGAAGAGCCAAGTGCATGATATGGAATAGCCGGAATATAAAATATGATTTACTAATGACCAGGTAAAGAGCAACTATAGCAGATTCCATCACAATTGTCAAAAGTAGGGAAATCCAAAACCTAAAAAGCAATACTCAGATATTAAATAGAAAATGATGACCTAAGATTAGTATCAAGAAACCCTGCTTACATGCTCTTTTTTACCCGGTCAACTGTACCAGACATAAAAAGGTGTTGTGTGTGAAGGTTGTACTTCTTTTATCAAATGAACTGAGCTGTTCATAATCACCTGTTGAACTTCAATACACCCAGTATCATAGGCTTCATGACTTTCTACATCCATACATGCCATAGCATATCCAGTTGGACATTCTCACCTCAGTGAGTTCTTTGATGACTCTATATATATATACTCGTGGTCCCTTCTACATAAAAGATCTATAGCCTTCCTGTCACCTTTCCTCCTAACCACAACGGCCAATCATAACAGTATTTATGAGGCCCGTTCCAATAATTACATCATTACAAAATGATCTAAAAGCTAATCACATGTTGCCCTTGATCACTATACAGAAATACTGTTCCAATGTGCCTCCTTAAACATGGGGACAGATATATAGCATAAACCATCGGGTCAAAAGCATATTAAATATGTACAAAAATTAAATTCTGAACCCAGTAACTCAAATGGCTCAGTTTAATTTCAAACTCATAAAGTTCAAATCCGGAATCACCTCAATTGAATAATAAATACAAATTCTGAAACGCAATTCCCAACTTATACCATAATGATAGAATTTTCGTAATCCAATTAAACCTCTTCTGCTTCATACACGATATTATAAGACCAATATAAAATCATGTAGTATAGCAACTATTACCAAATGAAAAGAGAAGTAGAAACACAACAAATTAAATCACAACATCCAAAGCTACTACTCATAGGAGTATTTAAAGTCAAAGTTGTGATTAAGAAAAATGCACTCCGCATAGAAATTAATTTGATTACTTAAAAAGAATTTTCACCTGCTTGTACTGGACTTCAATGGTGTATGACAAAAGCAAAGGGCTTATATCACTAGCATCTGGTCTTGACACGCCAATAATAGTCGCCTTCGGCAATTCCTCGAAGATAGTCGCTGGTTCGGTGTAGTATCGGAGCGAATGCGTCGATGACATTGCCGACGCCGGCGCGTTTTCTATCAGCTTCTCCGTCGACATTGCTGCCTGCTGCTACTTAATTCCCACTTGAATTAAGTCGACTTATCTTCTTCTACAGTCGAAACAATCTCCAATTATGAAAATCTCGTTTTGCATTCCCGGGAATCAGAGAAAAATGTACGAATATTCTGTTTTGAAATATAGTTTATGGAAAAATTCAAGTTGGAATGATTTGGAAGTAATTATAGCTTTTCGTTTTTTCTATAGTGGCAGAGAAACAGTGTGTTTGATATGGCGGTGTATTAGTCGGTTTAGTTCGGTTTTGAAGTATATTGATTTGACTTATTGGTTATCGGTATGTAGAGATGCTAAACAGTTATAGAACCATTAAGATATTGACATATCGGTTATTGGTTTATCGGTTATTGATCGTTATCGATTTAACACAAAAATAAATTAATGAAAATCACTTAGAAAGGTGACAAATCGAATGAATCATGTACATGAATTCACAATTTGCATCTTGCTCAAGAACAAGCACTTTTACATGGTAGAATAATCGAGAATTTGAGATAGCCAGAAATAAAAGTAGGAAACTAAACTTTAAGTCAAAGACTTTATATACAAAATTGTATAAATATAATTATTTAATTTACTATCGGGTTATCGGTTAACCCATTAAGAAAAAATCTCAAATCGTTAAAAATCGATAACTCAATAATAAAAAAAATCAAAACCGTTATCTGAATTGCTAAATCAATAATCCATTACTGAAAAACTAATGAAAAAAATTCGATTGAATTATTAATTTTGGTTCGATTTTGAACTGCCCTAGTATTTGACCTATTGTTACGTATAGTATTATTTTTTGTGGTTATATAATCTCAATAAAAAAAATTATAAAAGAAGTAAAGATAACAATGTAATCAAAACAACTTTTTAATAATAAAATTTAAATAACAATGTGAGATCATGTATTTCGCGTGAAGATCTCTTGAAATGGTAACACGTACATGTAGGCTATGGTGACGTGGGTCAGTTGTAACACGTGGTAATTTTTCATTTGTTGACAGTAATGGTTTTGGTGCAATTCAGAAACGGATGGTGTCACGAAAAAAAAGTTGGTCCTAACTCCTAAATAAGAAGTGACAGAATTATCCCTAAGCAAGATAGTATGTGATTAAGTAATCATATGATTATACTCAACACATTTTGTTTTTGTTGTATTCACTTTTAAAGACACTTTCAATTTTCTTTTCATTCTTTATTCACTTATAAGTTGTATAGTATGTTTAAAAATGGAAGGGGATAGAGTTGGTGTTATCTATCGGTGGCCTTTATGGTAGACTTAAGAGGCGATAATTTACCCTACTTAAATAAATAAACCAGAGGACATAATTGTCACTTCAGAGCCCATTAACTCTTGTATGTCCCATAAGAGAATAAATATTGGAATATCCAAGTTATAATTGAGTATATGCTAAATTAGCCACCAAACACTTGTCAGAGGTATCATGATCATATTCCACAGATTATTCCTAAAATAACAATGATAATCAAGACCCAATTGTTAGGAGCAATATTATTTATTTATTTATTTATTGTTTATTTCGTATCAATGTTGCTTAGCTGGTAACCCGGATGGTCGCCGTCAAGTACAGTGACAACCTTGAAATACACAAGAATAAAAGATTTGATAGTAATAACTTTTGTATCTCATCTGTATAAGCAATTATAGTTACGTATGATATCAAAGTCATTTGAAAAATATTACAAGTAAGTCTTTTTTAAAATATGAAATTTTAAATTATATAAATAAGATAAGATATATTATCTACCATAACAAGTAAAGATTACTTAAAACTCCCTCCGTCCCTATTTACTTGTCCATATTTCCTTTTTTGGTTGTCCCTATTTAGTTGTCCATTTTGACAAATCAAGAAAGGACAACAAATTTTTTCTTATTATACCCTTATTTACACTTCTTGAAAAATTGTAAAAGTGTATGTTGTTTCCCTCCAATTTATTCACTTGAATTCAAATAAGTGGTTGTAATTTTGAAGTGAAAAGTTGTCATAAGGGTAAAATTGTAACTTCACTGTGCTAATCATTGTTGCCTTAATCTGTGTGCCATTTCTAAAGTGGACAACTAAAAAGGGACGGAGAGAGTAGTATAAAAAATGTTGACATTAATGTTTGATGGTTCACAGATTAAAATTATTCCTGAATTATAGTCCTTAAAATTAATCTATCCCTTTTGTAAGGTTGATAAAAAAAAATATAGTAACTTTTAATTTGATAAAATGGGATATCACGTGATTAAATGCCCATTTAAGGGAAAATTACCTACTTAAGCAAACATATACTACTTTATTATTGATTATAGGCTAGCTATAGTTTCTGGAAATTACAGCTCACCTCTAACATTAAATTACAATTACGTGGAGTGACTTTTCAATTTTGTATAAACGTGTACGCTATCTCTCTTCCTATATACAAGCTCATTCCTTCTCTCTCTTCATAATCCATTACCTTATTTTCTCCTTTAATCACTCAAAATAAATTGATTTCAAAATTTAAAATTTTCATCCATTCCTTCTCAGATCGTGCTACAAGATTTTTAGGGTTACTATTATGCGTAGGGGTGTTCATGGTTTGGATAAAAACCGATCCGAACCGAAAAACCAAATCAAACCGATTTAATTTGGGTTTCGGTTTGATTTGGTTTTAGATTGTTAAGAACCGATAGTATTTGGTTTGGTTATGGTTTTGTTAAAAAAAAATCGAAGAAATAACTGAACCAAACCAACAAGTTATATACATAAATTTTATTATTATACATATATAATATATTAGATTCATAAACAATTTTAAAGATTTTATATATGTTTACAACAAAATTTATTTATAATTTACTTATGAAAGAAAAATAGTCCAAGGTGAGAACATTTTTCTTATTGGTTTCATGTTTATGAGTGTCTATGAAAATTCTTTGTGGACTGAAAATATCATTGTCTCTTCCTTCTATGCCAAAATAGTGAATTTTGAAGTTTTATTCAGTAAATTCAATGATCAAAAGTTATGTAATGTCAGCCATTCTAACTATTTTTTTGTTTGAATGGATTGTTGTCACTTTTTTTACGTTTTGAATGAATTGTTTCTTTTATTTTTATGTATGGTTAATAACCGAATAACCGACCCAAACCAAGCCAAAATCGAAAACAACCAAACCGATAAATGTATACTATATTTGGTTTGGTTTGGTTTTGATAATTTTAAAACCGATTAAGTTGATTTGGTTTTGGTTTTGACCAATAACCGACCCAAATCAAACCGTGAACACCCCTAAATTTATGCGATTTTACTTTCTTCCTGCATTTTAAAAAAAAATCTGTATATTATAATTTGTATAAACTCTTAAAGTTCGGATCTCCATGTGTACTCATTTTTTGTATAAATGCATTTTTGTATATATGCTTTTTCAAATTGTATATTTTTTAAGTTTATGTTTGCATACATTATAACGAATTGTCTAGTATTACTATAATTATACAATTTTTAGAATTTATATTATATCGGAAAGGAAATCCGATTTTAGGTATTCAAATTGTATATTTGTATATTTTTTGTCCTTGTTTTGGAATTTCTTTCTCAATTGTACTCGAAATTGTATATTGTTATTTGAATGGTATATTTATGTTGTTTTA